AGTTTCTTCCCATATAATTGGAGAATAAAGCCAATATAGATGTACAGAAGGGAGATAGCATTTGCTAAAGTCCAGAGTGCCTTGCCGATTCATAACATTAAAAATATACAGATCTTTCTTTTTCAAGCCCCAGTCATATGACAACATTCTACCAAGTCTCAGTCACCAAAAGCGCCCTCTGGTGTTTTCTTGCTAAAGCCAGTCAGCACCACAAAGTGTCATTTTGGAGTTGTTCTGGTTGACAGGCCCCTCCCAAACTAGTGGCTGGTTTTATTCAGACCTGATTGCCACTGCCCCAAACAGGCTCCACTAGGACTTCAACTATGGCAACTGCCCTGTGGTATTGTCCAGAAGATAAATGATTCTATACATTTATTCTAGGAAAGGTAGATTCTGACCTTGGTGGGGAAACCAAGGACTTGGCGGGGAAGGGTGGGACTGAAAAAGGCTACTACCGAGAGGTTGTCCAACAGATGTTGTGGGAAGAAACTCACTTGTAGAGATAGACATCTACTTGAAGCAAGGCCTGTGCATATTCCCAGACATAATTGGATAAAGGACAGAAGTCCTACCATAGCATCATTTCAATCAGGTAACTTGATACCAGCTTGTTTACAAAGCCAACCATGTAGGTTGTTATACATTAAAAGCTACTAATGTACAAGCAGAAGTAATGATCACTCGCAAGCTAGGGCCTTGGGGGCAAGCCACTTGACTTCTTAAACCTCTGTGCTCACCTATGAAATAGGATGATAGCCTGAACTGTTTCATGACATTGAAATGAGCTAAAATTTTGAGAGTGTGTATGAAACATTTAGCATGAGGCCTGAACTACAACAAGCCTTTGTGAATGTGAACTGTTTTAACTACCATGTCCGTGTTACCAGAAAACTTACGTAAGCAGATATTAAAAGGAAGAAAAGAAATCAAGTATGAAATAGGGTTTCAGATACTCCAATCTTAGTGGAAATCAAGATGTGTGTGTGTGTGTGTGTGTGTGTGTGTGTGTGTGTGTGTGTGTGCGTGCCTGTAGTTGTAGTGAGGCTTGAACTCAGGGCCTCCGGCTCTTGCTTAGTTTTTTCACTCAAGGCTTATGCTCTACCACTTAAGCCATACCTTACTTCCAGCTTTCTGCTGGTTAATTGGAGATAAGGGTCTCTTGGATTTGTCTGCCCAGGTTGGCTTTGAATCTTGATCTCAAATCTTAGTCTCCTAAGTAGCTAGAATTACAGGTGTGAGCTACTAGTGCCTATCTAAATGCTTTTCTTATAGCCTTTCTGAGTGCCTCATTCAGCTCCAGAATTTGGAAAATGGATAGGAATCTTTTTAAATCTTTAACTATAAAATGCATATAACTTGAGCCAGACATGAGGGTGTACATCTGTAATCCTAGCACTAGGGAGTTTGAGGTCACCCTGGGCTATATAGTGAGATTCTATCATCTCAATAAAACAAAGCAAAAATGCATATAACTTGTTTTCTCTTGCCTTTACTATGGTCTTAGTGTCATTGTCTTCACTGTGCAGTGACACACCTGCCTGTTGTCTTGGTGACTTGCATTGCATTGAGTTGTTGCTGTGTTTTAATACTTCTTATGCTAACAGGTACTTGGTTATTAAAGGACCTGTCAGGTGCCAGTGGCTCATGCCTGTAATCCAAGCTATTCAAGAGGCTAAGATTTGAGTACCTTGGTTTGAAGCCAGCTGGGGCAGAAAAGTCCCCATGAAATGTTTATCTCCAATTAACCACTCAAAAGACCAGAAGTAGTGCTGTGGCTCAAGTGGTAGAGTGCTAGCCTTGAACACAAAGAGGCTCGAAGGTCAGAGGCCAGGCCCTGAGTTCAAGACCCACAACTGACAAAAAAAAAAAGGATAAAATATAGGACATAAGGGAGTTACTAGTGAGTTCTTCTTTCATTTCAATTTTGAATCATTATCAAGTTATAATGCTTAAATGAAACTAAGGACTTAGATTCAGAAGATTTGTTGTCAGATCTATAAATTATTTTCTCTATAGATTTCTTGGGCTTCAATTTCTTCATCCTGAAAAGGTGATAATAACAATGATCATCTCTTACAGACTTAGTGAAGGTCAAGTGAAATGTTCTTTGTCATATAAATGTCAGCAGCTTATTAGTTTTATGTTTTTGTTTTTGTTTTGTCAGTCGTGGGGCTTGAACTCTGGGCCTGGGCGCTGTCCTTGCATTCTTCAGCTCAGGGCAAGCGCTCTACCACTTGAGACACAGCACCACTTCCAGTTTTCCAGTGGTTTATTGGAGATAAGAGTCTCACAGAGTTTCCTGCCCGGGCTGGCTTTGAACCATGATCCTCAGATCTCAGCCTCTGAGTAGCTAGGATTACAGGCGTGAGCCACCAGCACCCGGCTCGGCTTATTAGTTTTTTAAGTCCTGCTGGTAGAAAGAAGGTAGGGTAGAAGCTGAGAGGTCCAGGCCCTGCCCCTTCCAAGGTATGTGACCTCAATGTGGTAACTTAGTCTAGAGGAGAGCATTTGAGAATTGTTTGTCCTTTCAGAGGAAGCAAGTTAGCAAAGCATGAAGAAAGCGGGCCAGATGAGACCTGCCTTCTCTGCAAGGTAGGCAGGAGATGCACTTCAGAGACAAAGGAAGGAAAGCAGGAAGCCATGAAGCAGGACCACTGACTTCTGGGATATAGAAAGGACACCCAGTTCTGGTGGTGAGCTGTAACTGGAGATAGATGCCCAGATCTAATCTGAACATTGACGTACAAAAAGAAAAAATATAGAGCCACAACTAAAGCCAATGCTCATGCATTCGGTCAGAGTCACTATCCCCTGAATAGCAGCATGATTGGCAGTGACTTCCAGGATTACCACAGCAATGGACAGGTCCCACAGATCATGTGCTTGTATGCTGCTGTATACATGGCTGATAGAAAAGCATGGATTTGGGGAATCAAGGGACCAAACAGGATCGGATAGACGTGGGCAGGATGCTCCAGGATTTGATGAGAGTTGGTAGAGGAATGGAGGGAGAAACGGCCTCAAGACTCCTGTCACCAGAATCCCTATATTGAAATCACTGTAACCCAGAGGCTATGGGGTGGACAGACCCAAATCTAAGCAGTTTGTAAGATTCCAAGAAAATTTCAAAGAAAATATGTATCAATGAAAATGAAGACTCACAAGCATTGCCAGATTCCCCAAAGAACTCACGTCATAAAAAATAAAAGACCCAATGTGGATGAGGAATGCATTGCACAATAGGCTCTCATCATTCCAGGAACAACTGATGCAGGGTGAACTGGGTCTCAGGATGGACAGCAGGATACAGTTGGAGGTGGAGGGGGCCGCTGCTCAGGAAAGGCTGGAGGGTTGTCTTTTTAATTATGAGGTCCATTAGAGGCATCATGTGGAAGTTAGATTTCTATATCCTTCGGACAGATTTCCATTCCTACCAATCAGAGATTCTGCAGCTTCCTCCCAAAACCAAAGCTAAACATGGCCACTGCTGAATTTCCCCTGTAATTCTATGTCTTCAACATGTCAGAGGCTTTCTAGTTTGGTTTATCTAATGGTGTAACTAACCCAAAACATTACTTCTGTGATCTATGGCCAGTAAAATCCTACCTGTTAAGCTCCACCAGTAGCTGTTGGAGTGTTAGCAATGTCTACAAGTTCTCTAAACCTTGGTACGCTCAGCTTTCACATGGAGATAGTAATGGCACTGTGCTCACAGCGCTGTGGTGGGCAATACAAGAACTAAGGAACTGGAAGCCCTTAGCTAGATCAGTAGTGGGAACACAGGAAGTGCCCAGTCAGTTATGGCTTAAATCTCTGTGTAGTCCTGCATAATGGGTAAAGAAACAAAGTTATCAGTTCATGTAACTGAGAAGTCCAAGGCAGATCTGGAGCTTAAGGTACAGCTTGATTCAGGGTCACAAGTGGTATTTCCAGGACTTGGTTTCTCTCTCTCCATCTCTCAGCAATGCTTCTCAGACAGACAACACCTCCAAAGAAGCAAGATCACTTTAGCTCAACAGACCATGCATCTTTTATAGATTCCGTGCAGAAGAGGGCACCCAACCAATCTCCAAGAAGTCCCAGTTAAACTCATGGCACCTTATCAGCATAGATTACCCCATAGGTTACTGGAACAGGGGCAGAGTCAGACTGAGACTGCAGGGCCAGCCTCAGTGTTAGTAGGAGGGCAGTTTCAGGAGCAAAAGAATTGTACTTCCTGTGATTACCTACTGACTAATTAGGGAGAACTCAACTCCACCCATATCCAGACGTGGAAGGGCTGTGTGCAGTCACATCTGTATATCAACAGGATCATCTATTTCAGGAACTAGAGGACTCGGTGACCCTCAATATTTCTTTCATCTTTTTTCCTTTCTCTTTCTTCTATTTTTTTCCTTTCTTCTTTCTCCTCCTGTGCCATTACAAGGACTTGAACTTAGGACCTGGGCACTGTCCCTGAGCTTGTTTTGCTCAAGACTAACACTCCACCACTTGAGCCACAGCTCCCTTTCCTCTTCTAGCATCCTTCACACTGACTTGTGGTTATTCCCTCTATAGTGCCCATACTCCTGCGGTCTCCTTTCCACTGCCCTCCTTCCCTTGTTTCTGAATCCTTCTCCCAGGATGTGTCTGCTTTTCCATCCTTCCCATCTTTCACTACATTGTTTTCTCCCTCCACACCACTCAGATTCCTCCTTAAGAGCCTGTTTTCACAGAAGCTGCTTCTGCCAGTTGGGTTTACTCCCTCCACAGACATGTGTGAGCCACAGAGCAGGGCTCTGAGGACACAGTTCAGTGTGGTCTTTCAGAGAATGAACTTCCCCTCTCTACTCAGCCACCAGTTCAACATAATAACCTTCCTTCATCATTTCCCTTCAAATATCTCCCACACCCCTCCAACCTAACCATCGGATGAGGACAGATGGAATAGAGGTGGAGAGGTAACATGTCTGCCTCCAGGTACCCAGACCTGATCAGAGCTGCTTGTACTGTGTTCTCAGGTGACTGCTGGCTGCTGGCAGCCATTGCCTCCCTCACTTTGAATGAAGAAATCCTGGCCCGAGTTGTCCCCTTAGACCAGAGTTTCCAGGAAAACTATGCTGGGATCTTCCGCTTCCAGGTAATGTAAGGGTTTTCTCAGACTTTTCAATGGGTCCCAGGGACTCGGCCCCGCACACTTCTGCTAAGGAAGCTCCCAAGCTTGCCAGGATGACTATGGAAGGCCTCTAGGGACTTGCAAGGAGGTAGAGCTGGGTGTTCAAGAAGTCATTCCCAGGTTTTTAAAAAGTTGATTATTTGAGACTTGAGATCCAATGTTAAAAATGAGCCCCTTTTTGTGCTGGCGAATGAGAAATACTGTTTATTTATTTATCTATTTATTTTAATGCCAGTACTGAGACTTGAACTCAGGGCCTTGTGCTCTTGCTTATCTTTTTCTGCACAAGATTTATATCCTACCACTTGAATCATACCTCTACTTCTGGCATTTTTTGGGGGGGGGAGGTGGAGGGAGTTAAGAGACAAAGGAAAGTATCTCCTCCCAGCATGGGCTCATGGCCCCACAGCAAGGGGTCCAGCAGGAGGGAGCCAGGTGCCACTGAGGCTCAGAACCCTAGTGCATTCTCCTTGCATGCCCCTCCCTTCTTTTCCTGCAGTTCTGGCAGTATGGTGAGTGGGTGGAGGTGGTGGTGGATGACCGGCTGCCCACCAAAGACGGGGAGCTGCTCTTCGTGCATTCAGCCGAGGGGAGTGAATTCTGGAGTGCCCTGCTGGAGAAAGCCTATGCCAAGTAAGTGACCTCGCCCTGCCCCAAGGGCCATGGCTTGTCCCTGCTCCCCTGGGCTCAAAACAACAGGAGCTATTCAAGGACTATTTTGAGCAGAAGCCTTGTTCTATAAAAGGACTACTTGGGCCCAAATTGGGCTCTGTCTCTGAGGAGCTGATGCAGGCCACAAGCCTGGCCATGTGATGTGCTGATCAATGATAGCCCACTGGCATTCTGAACCAAGTGCACAGGGAAGGGTTATGAGGTTGATTTTCTGTTGACCTTAAGAAGGAACTTGGCTTCCTTGGCAGGACTTATTATATTGCTAATCAATTAAAAGCAGCAGAATTTATGCCAATGGGCCAATGACCCATGGCAGAGATAAGAAAGTTGTGAAAGTGTTTGCCCAGGATATATGGCATGGCTGGTGGCAAATGTTTTTGTTTTTTGTTTTTTTTCCCCATACTTCCTCCCCACTGCTTCCCAGTTTGCCCAGGCCCAGCATGTCAGCCTGCTCCAGAAGGGCCTCAGCTGGCTGTGATGCATGGACTGCCTTCATGAAGACCCAGCTCTAAGGCAACTAGTGGATTTTTGCACCTTAAAGCCCCATGATCACATCCCCAGTGGAGAGAACCTGTGTGCAAAGCTCAAGTTGTGGAGTTAGAGAAGCCTCAAACCCCAGCATTGATAGCATGGAGTCAAATGCCCATGAGAACACATGGCTTGTTTCTCATAGAAGCTGCTTTTATTATTGAATTGTTATCTTTGTTTTAAAGCTGTGACTGCCAAACGGCCTGTTAGCTAGTCTGCTTCTGTCAGGATGCAGAAAGAATCAATAGTGGAAGGTAGATCAACTCATCAATAAGGTCCTTCTAACTAAAAGGTTCTGTAGGCACTTCCCAAAGTTCCCAGAAAATAGTAACTGTAGAGATACAGGACTTTGCCTCTCCTGGGTATCCCAAGGAGAGACAAAACCAAAGAGAATGAGAGCAGAGCTGTCATGAGGTCAAGCAAACTAGAGTGGCTATGGGGTGCTACATGCAGGGCTGATGTCTCCCAGGCATTAGCAGCATCAGCGGTAGTAGCAGCACCTCTTCCTCTCTTGTAGGATCAATGGGTGCTATGAAGCCCTCTCAGGGGGCGCCACCACCGAGGGTTTCGAGGACTTCACAGGTGGCATTGCTGAGTGGTACGAGCTGAAGAACCCTCCTCCCAACCTGTTCAAGATCATCCAGAAGGCGCTGCAGAAAGGCTCTCTCCTTGGCTGCTCTATCGATGTAAGTCCACATTGCCCTCAGGAAATTCCTGTCTGCTCTAGCTGTCCTCAACAATGGATCTGCCCCAGGAAACCATGGCCCTGCCCCAGGAAACCTACTGCCCAGAAATAGCATTAACACACTCATTTAACACATTTCTCATTTGTTAGGAACTAGGGATTGCTAGGCAACAGCCACGCTGTCTGGGGTATAACTGCTGGGGTGATGGGCCTCCAGCCTTTCCTTACCTCCCAGGCTTATTTCCTGTTCTGAATCACCCCTCTGCTCCTAGACCCAAGGTTCCCTGAGAAAGCCTGCCCTCTGCTGGACTCCCCATCTCCAGGGCTCCACCATGAGCTCAGCAGCCTTTCTCTTGGGTCCCAGGGTTGATGGATTTAGGGGAGGATTTCAGAGGAAATTGGAAGGAATTCCTTCCCTTAATGGCTATTCCAGGCAAAACTCACCAGGGGATGGGAGGTAGAAGGTGGGTTGTGTCCAGTCCCATACAAAAGTTTACGCGTAACAGACAGGAAAAGAGTGGCTTTGCGGAGTTTCTAATGCAGCCAATTCTGAACTCAGACATTGCCAAAAAAAAAAATCACCATTGCAAAAAATCACCATTGCATAAAACCATGCAGCTGTGCTGGGACAGACAAGGGTGCTTGGAGAAATCAGTCCATCTGGGTTATTGATGATGCCTGGCTGTCTGTCCTGCATCCTGAGGCCACCTGAGGACCCTCCCTCAAGGGTGCAACCCTGCACACTTACCCCAAAGAGGGTGAATACACTGTATGTTCCCTCTGTGTGTATCTTATGTCACCTTACCTGAGAATTAGCACTTAAAAGCAGGTAACAGAAAGCACAGCGCTGCAGCCCCCTCCTCCGGCTTGGCCTCTGTGTTGTTGCCTGTGGTCCCCTTGCAGTAGGACATGGGTGATGGGGTGCAGCCACTGCTGACTTGCTGTATTTGCAGATCACCAGTGCTGCAGATTCGGAGGCTGTCACGTACCAGAAGCTGGTGAAGGGGCACGCATACTCGGTCACCGGAGCTGAGGAGGTAATGGGGGAGAGGGAGTTCTACTCCCCTAACTGGAATAACTCAAAATCCTTGTTCTCAACAGCCAAGCAGTCCTGGGGCTCAAGCCGGAGCCTAGGCTGAATCGATACTGCACTGCCCTTTGCTAGCCGCACAAGTGCCTTCAGGCATTCTTTAGTCTGGCTCAACTTTTAAAAAAAACAAAAACCCAAAAAACAAAACAAAACAAAAACAGCACTTAGCAGCTGTATAGTGGGGTTTGAGGTGGGTTTTTTTTTGTTTTTTGTTTGTTTTTGTCCTTTGTTTTTGTTTTGCCAGTCCTGGGGCTTGTGAATTCAGGGCCTGGGTGCTGTTGCTGAGCTTCTTTTACTCAAGATTAGCACTCTTACCATTTGAGCCACAGTACCACTTCTGGCCTTTTCTATGTATCCGTGGTACTGAAGAATCGAACCCCGGGCTTCATGCATGCTGGGCAAGCACTCTACCACTGAGCCATATTCTCAGCCCAGCTGTACAGTGTTTTTCAGTTTTTAAAGTCCCTCTACATTTGACCTCACAAAAACATTCATGGCTCTGCCTCTTGCTAGCAGTGTCACTTGAGAAATTTGCTTGGATTCTGTTCATTTGCTCATACTTAAAATGAAAATAACAATAGGTTCATAGTGAGGTGGTTGTTTTATGTGATGAGGGCCTACCCACATCACATTGTAAGTAGTAGCTGGTGTTGCAATTGGGATCATTGTTACTACAAATAGTATCAAGCAGCCCAGGTTCAGTGTTAATTGTCATCCTAGACCTGACCTCTTTCATTTAACTTTGGTTTTATTTTTCCTTATATTCTTTGTTATTATTATCATGGTAATATTTGGAAGGGTTACACAAAGAGTACATTTCTTTTTGGACAATGTCACCCTTCCCTTGCTTTCTCCCAGTTTTTCCCTTCCACCCCTCTCCCCCCTCAAGTTATATACTTCATTTTCAACATAGTGTCTAGTGAGTACTATTGCTGCATTTGTTCTCCCTTTGTTCCTCCATTCTTTGCCTCCTGTTCTTTTTCTTTTGATTCCAGCCTGGGCAACACAAAGAGATTCTGTCTCAAAATGAAACAAAACTTTTGCATACTGCGTCTGCTTGTTCTCATCCATGTTCTTTTAGCAAGTGGTAAGGCTTCCCTGAGAGCCTGTGACTAACGTATATCCTCTTCTAGTTAGTTAAATTGACATTTAGGGACAAACACACCAATCACAGGCACCAGCACAAAGGTGTTTGAATCTCAAGCTAATCTCAGTCCTCTTAAGAGCTAAGTCCTAGGAGCTTAAATTCCCACTTTTCCAAGCAGGGCAGCAGTGAAGGGTCTAGACCCCTAGAGGTATCACAAACCCTTTACATCTATCATGCTTGTCCCTCATTTGTGGATTCAACACCAGGTGGGAGTCCCTCCTGGCCTGGCAGGCCCTCAGCTTCTCAGCTTCTCCCTCCTCTTTTTCATCTGATCCTTCAGGTTGAAAGTGGAGGGAGCCTGCAGAAACTGATCCGCATCCGAAATCCCTGGGGAGAAGTCGAGTGGACCGGGAAGTGGAATGACAAGTAAGGAGCGTGGAGGCTGGGGCTGGAGGAGGGATAGTCCACAAAGAGGCCCTGATGAACCAAGCTTGGAAAATGCTCCCACACTGTAAAGCACCACACACTGTGCTTAGAAACAAGGCCCTGGCCCACACTGAGTGGCCCGTGGGGTGTGAGCTCAAAACACTACTCAGGCACTCTGGAAGCTTGCTCCAGACTCAGGGATCTTGTGCCATACATTCCTTCCCTACCTGGTGATCCATCCTTTCACCAGTTCAAATCCACCCTGCTATTATTGGGCCTTCGGGGCGGGGGGGGGAATGTATTCCTCATCTCCTAACACCTCTATTTCAAGGACATGAACTTGGCACCAAAGCAGAGACATCTATCTGTTGCTCTCCAGGGCTTCCTGGTAGCTGTTAGGCATTCTGCTATTTGGGGTAAATGCTCAGTTGGGCCTCTCCCCCAGTGCCCATCCCCGTACCTCCATTTTTTGCACCTGTTTCTGGCCTGTCCCAAGTGGCCTCAGCCTTGGCAGGATGCCTGTTGAGACTTCCTTCCAGGTGTGGTAATAGAGGCTTCATTTCAGGTGTTCAGTCGTTCCTAAAAGAGCTGCCAGACTGCTCTCAGTTTGAGCAAGTGGACCTCTTTCATTCTCACTCATGGGCTGTGCTCATTTTTCCAGATACTTCCTTGCTGCCATCATCCAGGAGGAAGCATCCGCTCACCCTGCTCGCTTGTTTGCCCCTCCCTGGTGTTTTTCCTCTTTCAAATGCTTTGTGAGCAGTTTGTTGTGGCTCTGAGCCAACTGTGAGGCGATCCCTCCTTTGGGGAGGGGGTCTGGGTCCTCAGAAGTCAGAATGGGTCCTGCTCCTAGACTTTGAGGAATCACCTGGACAAGTCACCCGCATACACTCACTCCTGAAGCCTCTCACATTGCTCTGCTTTGCAGCTGCCCAAACTGGAACACTGTTGACCCGGAGGTGAGGGAAAGGCTGACCCGACGACATGAAGATGGAGAGTTCTGGTAAGATGAGTGGATCCCCAGGAAATGATTTGTCTTCCCTGATGTCACTTACTGGAAAACTACTAACAAGAATGTGGGCCAGAAGGGCACAAGAGCATAAGTTCCTGGCTTTGTTGTTTTATTTTGTGTGTATGGGTCCTGAGGATTGAGCTCAGGGCATAAGCACTATCCCTTAGCTTTCTTGGCTCAAGGCTAACACTCTTCCACTTGAACCACACCTCTACTTCAGCTTTTTGGTGGTTAAGTGGAGATCAGACTTTCATGGACTTTCCTGCCTTGTCTGGCTTTGAACGACAATCCTTAATTTCAGCCTCCTGAGTAACTCTTCAATGATTCCATTGCAACAGTTGAGTTAACAAGCTGAGAGAAAAATTCCTTCAGTAATGTCCAGACCCTAAGAGAAAACAGCGATGAATCCAAGCCTCTTAAGAAACCAGTTCCTTAGTGAGAAGCGATGGCCCCATCGCTGTGTGCGCATGCGCCCCTCTGAGGATCATCCACAGTTAGACACAGCTTGTAGCTTGCCCAGATACTATTTGATATCTAAGATGCCCATTTTTGAAAACTCTGGGCTTCAGAGGCCCATTAATTTGATCAAAGTTACCCAGTTGGACAGTGGCATTGCCAGGACTAGAATCAGGAATTCAAATTCTAGACCTGATACCCACCATTGGGCCACATTCTGCTGCTCTGCCTGGCCTTGACTGACCTCGTTGGAAGGTCAAGACTCACTTTTACCCAGTGATTCCCTGTCTCTGCTTTTGCCAGGATGTCTTTTGGTGACTTCCTTCGACACTATTCCCGCCTGGAAATCTGCAACCTGACTCCCGACACCCTCACCAGTGACAGCTACAAGAAATGGAAGCTCACCAAGATGGATGGGAACTGGAGGCGAGGCTCCACTGCAGGGGGCTGCAGGAACTACCCCAGTAAGTGCTGTGGCCGCCAGAGGCCACGCCACCCTCACCTTACCCTGATAAACATGCCATCCCCAGCCTGGCATCCCTGAAGAGGCGGTGGCTACTCACTGGGGCTCTTGCTGTCTTCCTTCTTCCCAAGCCTGTGTCTCAACACCTTTCTCCCTTAAAAATTGTCTTATTCTGATGACACCTGCCCATTATGGAACATACACTGGGCACGAGGAACTGTCCTAAAATGCATATGTGTGTGTGTGTGTGTGTTTATACACACACATGTATATGTTATTTCCTCTCATCTTCACCAGAAAACATCTTATCATCTCCATCTTTAAGACAAATGAAGAGAGGCAGGCCCAAGGTCACACAGCTTGCTGGGATTTGAACGTAGGTAGTCTGATGGGACCTGAGTGGCAGGCCACGGTCCTATTTTGAGTCTCTGTTGCAGATAAGGAAACTGAGGCTCTAAGTATATTCCTGGCCCACAGAGCAAGAAAACAGACTGAGACTAGCTGAGTGGTCTCTGCAGCTCAAGTATTCAGACACCCAGTAGAAGTTCTAGAGGTCACCCACAAATTACCCTTCTGACACATTAGATCAGGGGTCAGCATACAATTTCTCATGAACTGTTCCTAAATGCTTTTGGCCCGATGGGCCATCCAGTCTCTATAGTGTCTACTTAGCTCATGCAGAAATGAATGGCCATGGCTGTATGCCAATAAAACTTAATTTACAAAAGCAGGTGGCAAAATGGTATCTTTAATTCCACCATTAAGAGGATATCCCATTAGATATAGGAAGGCATTAGCTTAATTACTTTCAAGCATGAGTAGCTCTCAGATCCTTCCTGAAAATAGGTTTTGGAAGTGAAAGGTTAGACCCATCATGAATGTGGGTAAGGCCTGAGAGGATAAGAGGCACAGAATCCGAAATTGTACACATGGTGTCCCTGGCCTTTAAGTCTACTGGAGGGTTGAATACTAAGGAAAAGACCCCAGAGCCCTCTCAATCAGGCCATCTGGCCCATCTCTGTCCTGTGTGAAGATACCACTAGATGGCGTCAAGACAAGTCAGCAAGAGAGTACTACACAGGAAGTTCCTCAGCTTTTGTCCTTTTGGGACTTAGACCACTCAAGGAGCCCATCGCCCTTCCCCTTCACGTTCCAAGGGCTGGTGTGCTCTTAGGGGAGACCTCAGAAAGCACTTTCATCATAGTAAGTGCAGGCTACCTTGTCTCAAAAGCCCACCTCCATCAGTGTCCACCCTGCCTGCTCACCCTGGTTCTTTTGCTCTTTCCACCATCTCCTGCCATCTTCTCTCCTCTTCATCCCTGTCTTAGAGGCCTCCAGCCTCCAGACTAAGGCCCACCCTAGAGCTCTTCCCATGCATGGCTACTTAAGGTTGGGTCCCTCTATCCCTCTCTACCACAGACACCTTCTGGATGAACCCTCAGTATGTGATCAAGCTGGAGGAGGAGGATGAGGACCAGGAGGATGGGGAGAGCGGCTGTACCTTCCTGGTGGGCCTCATCCAGAAGCACCGGCGGCGGCAGAGAAAGATGGGCGAGGACATGCACACCATTGGCTTTGGCATCTATGAGGTATGTACGGGCAGAGCAGAGGTGGAGCTCCACCTCCCTTCCCTTCTCCTTTGGCCCAGCGTGGAGACAGATTCCAGAAGCAGAACTAGGGATGAAGTGGACAGGGAATTTAGCCAGGCCAAAGCAAAGCCACTGTCTTGGCCTGGCTAAGAGCTGCTGTCACAGGGAAGTCCTTGCCACTGGTCTGTATCTCTAGAACCTTCCCATGCCTTCCTCATTACCTCATGGGCAGCTTCTTGAGAGTTCCACATTTTCACATGGCCTCTGTGTCCTTTTTCATGTCCCCCACGCCTAGCATTCCAAAGAACCGAAGAGATGTGATCTAGAACACAATATTCTGGCCCACGCCAAGAAATATAGTGAGGGCTGGACTGAGCCACCAGCAGGTCAGAGCCCAGGAAAGTCATTGGCCTGGACTGTGGCAAGCTCCAGACAGGAGAACAAAGAGTTATTATGTTCCTCTCAAGGATCTGTTGGCTGGAGCCCTGCTCCCCCAGACACCCTGGCTTCTTACAGGTTCCTGCTTCTCATTCCATGCCAAGTTAAGGCAGAGTTCAGCTGAGTGGACACTAGAGGGCAGCCTTGTTATTGCTGCCTCCCACTTTAGGCTGAGGGCCGGACTGGGGCTAGGAGACGTTCTAATGTATAAGGACCCTGTCCCTATCCTTCTCTATCCACATTACAGTGTTCTGTGGCCTTGCTTGGCAGTGAGAGGCCTGAGGTGCAAGGAAGACCTTATGAGAAGCTGACAGGGTGCATTTTGGTTTGATGGGTGGAACCCAGTGATGAACTGAAGCCAGGGCCTTGCTGCTCCATGCTCCTCAAGAACCTCGTTCAATGAAGTCACACAGGCAGCCTGAAAATGGCTACCCGTTGGGGAGACAGGATTATTTACACCATGGGAACTTGCATACACTTCCAGGCAGGTAGTTTATGATGCCTAGCACACTCTGATGCACCCAGACAAGGTGTCAGGGGAGAAAACTCCTTGGGTTTGCTCTCATTGGCCATGTGGTTGCCACCAGTGGGTCACAGAACTTAGTCCAGTCCACTCACCTGAGCAATGGAGATGGATGAACACCATAAGTTGTATAAAAAAAAATGAACATAGTCTATGACTCCACACAGTCTCTGAAATAGGAGCCAAGGACTTTGGGACAAAATATAAACTGAATTGTGTTGCTTCAAGCACTTGAAACTCCAGTCATGGACTTTCAGAGTTAGGAGGGACTTTGGTGAGAAACTGAGCTAAAAAGCAGAAATGGCTTGCTGAAAGAAATACAGACTGGATGTGAGTAAGCGAGCCCTGCTTGTTGCTTCCCTCAACTGAGCAGGCCCTGCTTTGCCCACCTGGGAGGTAGGATGTGCCTTTGCCACAGCTGGCTAGAAACTGTAGGCAAGTCCTTATCTATCCCCACTTCTCCATTTCAAGATGGTGGAGGTACCATCTATGACATCACTGGGTTTGCTTTCCAATATGGTAGACATACCATATTAAGTTCCTTAGGCACCATTTATTATGGTGACTTAGTGATAGTGCTAAAACGGCAGAGAAAAGAGGCAGCAGATGAGTTGGTGGCGATGCTGTTGTTTTCATACCCTGTCTGCTTCCCAAAATCTGAATTGGGTTTCCTTTATTTTGCAGGTTCCAGAGGAGGTACGTTGGACCAGTCCTTGTCCGTGGGGGCTTGGGTCACCAACACTTGTGAAGCTTAAACTGGCAGAGCTTGGAAAAGGACTGACGGTTATGAGGGATACATCTTAACCCCATCTTGGATCCTTTTGAGCTCACTCTGGTCCTGGATCCTATTGGCCTAAGCTCCTGGGAAATCCCTGTGGGGCCGGCTGCCTCTCTCAGGCCAGAAGAGCCTGTGCAGGGTTGGGTTCTGAGCTGGAAACCCATAGTCCTTAAACTGCATGAGGCCTGGCCCAGAGTCCAGTGTGACTCTGAGAACAAGCAGGAAGGGGGAGATGAACCTGTGGACTGGACCAGAAGACAAGGTGTGAGCCTAGACAAGGAGACCAAAGCTCTGCTCCCAGACTGTGACCTTCAACAAGTGACATCCTTTCTGTACTTCAGTTTCTTTTCTAACCAAGTGGTTAGCCATCCACCTCACTGGTGTGTTGTGAACATGAATTAAATTGTGCCAAAGCACCGAGAAGGCCACAGGTAGTACTACCTGATAGGATGACAGCAGCTGAGTAATTCTCAAAGCCATTTGTTTAAGTGGACATAGAGGACACCGTGACCCACCCACAGCATGCTTCTTTCACAGGAAGTCAGTGCAGCCCATGGTGTCAGGCTTCCTTGGATGCTATGTGTGGAGTTGTAGCTTCAGACATAGACTACATCCAGTTTAGCAGCTGATCCCCTTCTGCACCCCTGTGTGTGTGTGTGTGTGTGTGTGCGTGCACGCACATATGCATTTGTGCGTGTGTATGCATGTGATCCTGTGTGTGTGTGTGTGTGTGTGTGTGTGTGTGCGCGTGCGCGCACATATGCATTTGTGCGTGTGTATGCATGTGATCCTGGAGTTTGAATTCCGAGCTTCATTCATGTTGCTAAGCAAGTGCTCTACCACTTGAGCCACATCCCTGGCTTTTTCATTTTGTTTACGAAACATCTCTTACTAATTTTACCCAGACTAGCCTTGGATCGTGAGCCTCCTGTCTACATGTCCCAAGTAGCAGGAGTGAGCCCACATACCTGGTATTGCCTTTGTGTGTCATACATCACATAGAACTTCCAGATTCCTGCCATGGGGACTCTAGCCCTGTCGATAGTCACTTAAGGGAAGAATGCAGGAGGAAAGATGGCATTTCTATAGAGGCTGAAGACAAGGGCTTTTGTTTCTCATGTCTCTGAGTTCTCCCATGGCCATTGGTTACTTTTGGTAGAAAGCTTACTTTTTTCTGAAAATGATCCAGACATCCTTATTGTAATTCCTTTATTTTGGAGAGTACAAAAATGATACTTATTTGAAGCTCCTTCCCTCATTTCTCTGCTTATTCATCAGCTGATTGGACAAACCAACATCCACCTGGGCAAAAACTTTTTCCTCACCACTCGCGCAAGGGAGCGGTCTGACACATTCATCAACCTCCGAGAGGTTCTCAATCGCTTCAAGCTGCCCCCAGGAGAGTACATCCTCGTGCCTTCTACCTTTGAACCCCACAAAGACGGGGACTTCTGCATCCGTGTCTTCTCAGAGAAGAAGGCTGACTACCAGTAAGTGCTTAGTTCCTCTCTCTACTCCCCTCCCTCTCCCCAGATGCTGGTCTGTTCTTCACGCCTGAGTACCACTCTCTTTCTCTGAAATATCTGTCTCCCTTAGGGGAGTCAGTGGGAGACTGGTGTATTGGATGAAGAATTGTTCATGTTCTACTCAGGGAAACAAAGACAAAGCCACCCAAGAGACTTGGGGGTGAAAGAGGGAGTGGAGAATGACCTGAAGAATCCCATTTCACAGTTGTATCTTTGAATGACTTACCCTAGACAGTCTATAAGCTGCGTAGGGTAGCTGTCTAGGGAGAATGCTGGGCAGTACTGGTATAAGCCTTGTTTCCCCAGGCCATGCCACTAAGGCTCTCCAGGAAGAAACCGTGATAACTTCGGTGGTCCCAGAACCTCCCCCTGTTGCAGTCATGGATGCTCCAGTCCCCTCCCCACTATGCCCTTTAAGGTCCCAGCTATTTAAGAATAGTCTTGATTGATCCCACACTTTCCTGCCACTGTCCATGTGGCCTCAGTTCACTGTGGCCGCTGCCACTTTGGTCATTGGTACATTAGGTTGGAGGGCACTTGATTGGCAGAGGCAAAATCAGCCTTGGCAATGTTAGCAGAAGGATGTTCACTGGAAGGCCATGAGGACTCCTGCTGGAGTCCTCCTCCAGAGGGAGGCAGGGCACAGACAGGAAGAGCAGGAGGAAGGCTGTGCTGGATCTTGTGTTGATATTCCAAAGATCCCCCCTTAAAGCATGTCCAGTGGGCCAACTTTATGTCCATCCTTGGCCTGTCAGCTCCTGCAGTGAGTGGGAAGAGAGGACTAAGAGGGACCAGGTCTCCTATTTCCAAGAGTGTACATGACAGAGAAATCATTTCAATTCCAGGCATCTGCAGGCCAGTGAATACCGTTAGAACATCACTGGAGCCAGCCCCTGCCACCATCAGGCTCTCTTTTTTTTTTTTTGTTGGTCGTTGGGCCTGAACTCAGGGCCTGGGCACTGTCCCTCAGCTCTTCAGCTCAAGGCTAGCACTCTACCACTTGAGCCACGGCACCACTTCTAGCTTTTTCTGCTTATGTGGTGCTAAGGAATCAAACCCAGGGCCTCAGGCATGCAAGGCAAGCACTCTACCATTGAGCAACCTTCCCAGCCCCAGGCTCTCTTCTTTTGCTGATGCTTGCCCTGGGGCAGAAGCCTTTCCTCTTAGCTCCCTGGAGGACTGACCAGGAAATGGAGACATGATCCAATATCATTGGAATGACACTGTTGTCAACCCTTGTCCGCCCTGCTAACCACAAACCACTGTCCCAGGAAAGCTCAGTCCCCTCAGCTCTCTCCAGGGTGAGCTCTTAAACCTCAAAGCTGTCTGACTTCCCCGTCACAGGATATTAATTATGTGCCAGATTCCAGTCCCGAGCACCAGGAAGTCTTCTCTCCTTTTGTGATGCACCAGGAAGTCTTCTTATTCCTCCTTCTGTGGTGCATCAGCTCCACAGACAGGACTTGTAGTAGCCTAGTTTAAGATCCTAAGCACCCAAGGAAGATCTCTTACCCTGAGTGTGGAGCTGAGGAATCTATCCTAGGACAAGGGACTATATACATGATCAACTAGCCACTGCCTGAGTGCAGCTGAAATTACACACTGCCCCTCTCCATCCTGAAGCAGTACAAGTAGGTAATGGACAGGTCTCACCATGAAGGCTTTACAATGACAGAGTGTATTTTAAATGTAATTTCAAAGTTGTTCCTAGGGCCAGGAGCTAAATGAGTTACCTAGAGTTCCAGCTCCACCCTACATAGAAAGACTATGAAACTTGATAAGGACCCCAAACTGACAGACCATTTCAGCCTCAATTTCTGCTTGCTGAGGGGGGATACCTAAGCACAAACCTGGGATTGGCAAGATCCTCGCTGTTAACCTCCTGCTGGGTTTCAACACAGCCCTTCTGTTTTTATCCACATTGCTGATTTACCCTTCCCTGCCTTTTAGTAAATTGTATTTCCTTTCTGTTTCCAGAGCTGTTGATGATGAAATTGAGGCCAACGTTGAAGAGGTACTTGTAACTCCTTAACTCCACTCACTCTGCCCTGGATACCTAGAGAGCTGAGGAGCTGCAAAGGCCCACAAGGACTCGGGAGGCCCCCTGGGACTTCCTGGCCCCAGACTGAAATAGAGCCTACAACCCAAACTGGGAATCTGAGAGTCTGTTTCTTATGCTGGGGCCAAGGTTTGTTAATCAGTTTACCCATGTGTTTGTGGAGAACCAGAGAACACCAGTGCTACATTAAGCAGGGCCAGCTTCTTGTCATTCCTCCTATCAGATCTCAATTTTCTCATCTATAAAATGGAAACACAGTAGGACAGGATTTCTCATAGAGTTCTAAGAATGTGATTCCGTGGTAAATCCTGAAAGGTGTTTAGGGATTTCAAACAAGGCTCTATCTCAGCAAATATAAGTAGAAGATTTCCCCAAGCAGGGACAGGGGTCCAGGGCTCTCCTGCCTCTCCCCAGGAGCCTGAGATGACTCCACAATTGACTCATCAGTTGCTGAAGCTTGGCGCATGTCTTATGTCCCCAGTGGGAGATTGCACAGTCTCTAAGGGCCTCACTGGCCACTGCTGAAATCTCTCCAGAATGTTCTACTTAGCCCTTACACTTCCAAGTCCCTATGAGAGTAGATCACAAAAGTCCATCGGGATGGCTGTTAAAGGCATCTTGTGTATGACAAATGAAAGTGTAACTCCTTCCCACGTAGTTTACATTCCCTCTCATGTATGCCTTCTACTAGTTCTTCACATGGTCCTTTATTCCAAGCCCAATACCCTTAGAATTCGGCCCAAGGAATTGGACAGTTTCCTGTGTCCCAGTAGTGGACACAGGAAATTCTGAAGGAAGAAGGAAGGCTGCCTCAGACTGGAGGGGTGTCGCCTCTTCCCTCTGATTCATTGTTTCCTGTTTCTGCACCTTCCAGATTGATGTCAACGAGGAGGACATTGATGATGGCTTCAGGCGGCTGTTCGCTCAGCTGGCAGGGGAGGTAGGTGTTCCTCACACTCAGTGCTGACATAAAGGAAAGACAGCATTTGTCCTAGAGGAGACTTGTTTAAGGGAAGTAGGAAACCAACTGAGTAAGAGCAAAGAGGAACGACAGACATAGCTCCAATCTCAGCTTGCTCCTCCGTGCCTGATCCTCTCAGCCCTCTGCATGCTGCCAGGGCCTCCAAGCTCCGGCTCAGCTCTAGCTCCGTTCTTCCTTCCTCATGATTCTTAGGCTCACTTTGAGGCTATTTTTGTTCCTTTTGTTCCATGACAACTGAGGCACAAATTTCGACCCCCTCTCTTTGATTCCCACAAAATACTCAGGGAAGAGGGAAGGGTTTCAAGACTTTAAAAATACAAGTGACTTACAACAGGATATTGAGATCTTTTGTTCTTAAAATAATCCTTCAGACCTAAAAGGATGATGATGAGAATAATAGGACATGAATGCAAAAGAGAGATAATAGGAGGGATAAGAGGATGAGGAGAAAAAGGAAGGGATACTGAAGATTTCAAATTATATTTCGTGTGTGTGTGTGTGTGTGTGTGTGTGTGTGTGTGTGTGTGTGTGTGATAATAAAACTCCATCAGGCACTTTGAAAAGGGGGATGAGAGATTAACATGGTAATAATATGGGGGTAAATTGTTCACAATCAATCATCTATAGAAACAGCACAGTGAAACCCCCTTATGTGATTAATGTATGCTAATGCAGAAATAAAATTAAAAGATCATAGTGATAATCCATCAGCTGTCTAGGCCCACTACAAACTTATTTAGCTCTCTTCCCAAAACGTCAAAAGAAAAGTCATCCTTCTTCATTATGTGGAGAAATTCAGCTCTCTCCAACATTGCCACCAAGCTCATTTTTGTGCTTAGCCAAAGACTGATATCAAAGGGTTTTTTTTTGTTTTGTTTTTGTTTTTTGTCGGTCATGGGGCTTGAACTCTGGGCCTGAACACTGTCCCTCAGCTGTTCAGCTAAAGGTGAGCACTCTATCACTTGAGCCACTGTGCCACTTCTGGTTTTCTGAGTGGTTTATTGGAGATAAGAGTTTCACAGCCTTTCCTGCCCAAGATAGCTTTCAACCACGATCCTTAGATCTCAGCCTCCTGAGTAGCTAGGATTACAGGTATGAGCCACTGGTACCCAGCTTCTATCAGAGTTTTAAAGGAAGTGCCAGCTGACCCATATCCCTCCTGCTGCTATTCTCCCAGTTTACCAAAGGTAGGGGCCTTAGAGAAACGTAGTTTCCACTGAGTCACACACCCCACCCCAGGAAGACAAGGATGAAGACAAAGCAACCTTGCTTTTAAACCCTGGGACTTGTTCCTCACGTACACAAATATGCCTGAGTAAACCACTTCTGGAACCCCCTGGCATAATGGCCATAGAGAAGGATTGCGCAAGCTTGGAGACACCTATGTTTTTTGTGTTTTTTGGGGGGGAGGGTGGCTGTTGGGTTTTGTTGGGGCTTTGAACTCAGGGACTCATGATGGCTAGGCTGGCACTCTACCACTGAGCCTCATCTCTAGCCTTTTTTCAGCACTGCTTATTTTCAGCACTGCTTTCTTCGGATCTCAGGGCATGTATCTGTTTCACAATCCACCTATTTAACCCTTCCCATGAAGTTAAGATGACGGGCACACACCAGTTATTGGTCCTGGAGTCTCACCAACTTTTTCTTTCTGAGGATGGTCTTGAATCTGAGGTCCTTTCCATTTCAGCCTCCTAAGTAGCTAGGCTTATAAACATGAGCTGCCAGTACCCAGCAGAGATACCTAGTTTTAAGCAGTGTTAAAGGATGCCTGGGATCTGAATTACAAAAGATTAGGAAGGCATCCCACATAGGAGGACAGGTCTGAGTGTATTAGGTCCAGAAAGATCATGAACAGCAGAGATATGGTGATTGAATCAGTATAGATTGCTGTGCATAGAAACACTCTCTGAAGTGTGAACCAGGACAGAGCTACCCAGAGTGGGCTGGGAGCAACAGCACCCACTTTACCTGGAGAATGAGAAATACAAATAAGACCCATCTTGGGTATCTACTACATGTTTGTTGTGCTGAGCTTTACTCAGGAACTAAGACTGATGCTCTGATCATATGACCACAGGATGCAGAGATCTCTGCCTTTGAGCTGCAGACCATCCTTAGAAGAGTTCTAGCAAAACGTAAGTGTCCCTTCCTTGCAAATCCCCCCTTCTGCTCTTTTCCTTATGGACAAGGGAACATGGGAATCCTTTCATGTATTGGCTAAACCATTAGTCTCTACTCCTGTATAGAGCACTGTCAGGTGCCACTCCCCACTCCCTACTACCAGATTACAATGTTATCCTTCCATTGTATATTTAAATGAGCTTCATGTAACCATTTGTTCACTGGGAGAAAGATCATTTCACTTGAACCAATGGGCCAAGCCAATGATTTCAAGACTGGAAATGTCTGCTCTCAGTCCAGGCTGGAAGGTCCCATAAAATATGGGTAAAACTAGATCAAGTCTTAGAGCTATGACGCTCACAAATCTTTTCTCCTTCTTTCCTTCCTTTTTTTTTTTTTTTTGGACAGGGTCCATTATATAGCCTGAGCTAGCCTCAACCTCATGATCATCCTCGCAGCCTCCTGAGTACTAGTAGAATTACAGACATGTGCAACTGTGCCTGGCTTGTAACGATTTCTTTTTCCCCCTTTCTGTTTATTAGTTTACATAGGGAAGATTCCATTGGTACTTTTTTTTAAATGCCAGACTGGGGCTTGAACTTGAAGCCTCATGCTCTCACTTTTTCTCATCCAAGGCTGATACTCTTCCACTTGAGCCATGCTTCCAGTCCAGCTTTTTTTGCTGGTCAGTTGGAGATAGAATCTCAGATTTTTCTTCTTCTTCTTCTGAGGCTGGTTTTAAACTATGATCCTCAGATCTTAGCCTCCTCAGTAGTTAGAATTATAGAATTATAGGCATGAGCCACCAGTACCTGGCTATAACTATTTCTTAAGCTAAAATATCAACAAATTGATTGTTCAGTACCCTACTGTTGTTCACCACTAGGAAGAGAGAGAAATACTTTTCCCCTTCAAGTTATTACAAGTTATTCTACTTTTGTTAAGATATTATAAGATCAGGGGGCTGGGAAGGTGGCTCAGTGGTAGAGCACTTGCCTTGCATGCATGAGGCCCTGGGTTTGATTCCTCAGCACCACATAAGCAAAAAGAAAAAAGCTGGAAGTGGCGCTGTGGCTCAAGTGGTAGAGCGCTAGCCTTGAGCTGAAATGCTGAGGGACAGCGCCCAGGCCCGGAGTTCAGGCCCCATGAACGGACCCCCCCCCCAAAAAAAAGATATTATAAGATCAGAGGTTATAAATCTGGGTCTGAAACAAATCCCATGGACTTCAAGGGTTACCATGGTCTCTAACAATGCACCATATGGCCTCTCACATAAGCCTTCAATAAAAAAGCAATTCCTCCTTTGAGAGCCAACAAAAAGTTTAGGGCCAGCTGGACCTTCCATCCTCGTGTGTGTATGTGAACCTCATAGAGGGCAGAGACAGCTGCTCTCTACCTGGTGGCCCCTGAACAAATGGCTATAGCATAGCATCTGTGATTCACAGAGCACTCAACGAGGAGAAGCAGGATGGTCAGATGCAGCCCATCCAATTAGTCCACTGCAAAGCTCCCTCCTCCCGCTTTGGAGGACAAGAAGATGGTATTTACCCTTGTCCACGAGTGAGGTCATGGGGTTCTTCAGATGTGTGGCTGTCATGTGCCCAGGAGACTGAGGGCTCATTGTTCCACACAGCTGGAGGGTAGGAATAAATCAAGCCATGCTTGGTTCAGCCTGCTCCTTCCTGCTCTGGGGGGCAGGGCGGGGGGGGGGGGAGTGAGAGGAGGAGAAAGTGTTTGTTTCACATGGACCTTTGAGCTCAGACCTCTCCACTGCTTGTCTGGCGACTCCAGCCTTCTGCCCAAGAGCTAAGCTCACAGCCTCAGGTTCTGCACCCAAGAAGGGGTTAGTACCAAAAAGCATAGCTCAGTGATAGGTTAGGTTCTAACCTTTTACAAGAACATCATAGAGGGCTGGGAAGGTGGCTCAGTGGTAAAGTGCTTGTCTTGCATGCATGAGGCCCTGGGTTCGATTCCTCAGCACCACATAGCAGAAAAAGCTGGAAGTGGCACTGTGGCTCAAGTGGTAAAGCACTAGCCTTGAGCTGAAGAGCTGAGGGACAGTGCCCAGCCCCAGAGTTCAGGCCCCACAACTGGCAAAAAAAAAAAGAACATCACAGAAAGGATTCCTCCTCTTGAGTCTAGTGAGGCACCAGATTCCCGTGTGTGACAAACATCTCACCCCCAGCAAGTTGGGGGCACAGACAGGACATATAGGCCTGCAGGTAGACAGCTGGAGCAGTTTTCTTCCTCTCATGGGTTACAGCCTACAGCAAACACAGGTCATCTGGATTTCCCCCCTCTTCCCAGCAACCACAGGCAACTTTACACCCAATAAGCATTTACCTGTAATTCTAGCCCCAGGGAGGCTGAAACTGGAAGACCACAAATTTGAGACCAATATGGGATGTACAGCAAGATTTTGTATACAAGAAAAAAAATGTCCTTAGCAAATTCAGAGAACACATCTTTTCTGCCATGCCAATATTGGACACCTGTAGCTGTTTAAGGAAATTTAAACCTTGATTTTAAACCTATTGTAATTTAAACCTTAATTTAAATGTGACTATTTTAGTGGAGGACACGGAGAAAGGACATCTTTGTGGAAAGTTCCACCTTTCTGGAAAATCCTGCTGGACAGCCCTGCTTGGGAAGATTTTTCTGTCATGCTTATTTTGTCTTTTAGGCCAAGATATCAAGTCAGATGGCTTCAGTATTGAGACCTGCAAAATCATGGTGGACATGCTAGATGTATCCTTTTATGTGCTACAGAGAACAGCCACCAAGGAGTTTAGAAACTCACTCTAGAAAGTTCCAGTACATTGCCTTTTCGCACTTTAGAATGGCCAGTTGCGCTTGACTTGCCCTCCACATGACCTTCCTTCCTAAGAAAATAGAAAACCCCAGATAAAGGAAAGCATGCTGCCACATCCCCACCCACATGCATAGGCTCAGTGTGAGGGGCAGCCAGTCCATGCCAGCCCGTGCACAAAATCCCTGATATTATACCCATAGTCCCTGCCCAAATCAGCCTGGGTTGTTTCCTGAGCGGTGGTGTTTCCATTACTTCTAGGAAACTTTTTCTGGTGTGAATCTTTCTCTGGTTAGGATTTTACTCTACATCTGTAGATAAGGGCCTACCTCCATGGGCATTCTTCCTTCTCTGGGTTCTAGTTACTTTGAGAGCCACTTACCTGCCCTGAAAACAATGTAGTTTTGGTCTCCTCTTGTTTCTGATGCTCAGTGAGAAAGGATGGGAAGGGACAGTTGGGGGACCCATCAGTGGAGCTCCATCACACATCTTCTTAGAAATACTCTAAATAATACTGAATACAAGTGGTAGGGGTTCAGCTATGAACTAGTTCATTTGGATCAGGATCTAGGGGCTCCATGGCACCCCACAGTAATCAGGGTTAGCAGGAAGGAAGGTCTCTAGCTTACCTTTCATCCAATTCTTCATAGAGGAGGTATGGCAACGAAAAGGAGAAGGATCCTTTTGCCAAACTTCCTCGTACACAGGGTGTGATGACCAAGAGACCCTCCGAGAGGACAAACTGGCTGATGTTATAATTGAATGACTGTGGATTCCAGGAGTTTTCCTTGATTGAAGGCAGGAGGATGGGAGTGGCAAGCTGGGGCTGAAAGAGTTCTACATTCTCTGGACAAAGATTCAGAAATACCAAGTAAGATCTCAGGAGGGCTTGGCAGGGCGGTGGGCTGAATCATCTGTGTCTGGGAATATTCTAGGCATGTAGTTTAAGATGCAACAGGGTGGATGAACATTTTCAAGAGGATTGAGACTTGGCCCATGATAGAGCTCAGAACGAGCGAAGACCTGACTGGGCAAATGCAAAATTAAACAAAACAAAGACTTTGCGAAATAAGTCACTTATTGTCTGCCTTCACCTGATTGGTGACTAGAAAAAGAGCCGCCATTAAGGATTTCCTTAAAAGGCTGGGTGGCTCCATGGAGCCGTGAATTTGTAATTCAAGTATATAAATTACAAAGGGTGATCACATAGGCCCATGGCAGTCGGCTCAAGCCTGTAATCCTAGCTACTTGGTGTGTGGAGATCAGAGAGTCATTTTCTAAGGCCAGCCTGGGCAGAAAATTTCATGGGACTTCATCTTCACCAATGTCCTGAGAGTAGTGATTCATGCCTGTCACCCCTGCTACAGGGGAAATAACAATGGTTGGTTGCATTGACTGACAAGTACGTGGCCTATGCCTGTCATTCCTAGGCCTGGGAAGGTCCAAGTAGGAGGATCACAGTATAAACTGAGCAGAAAGGGAGAATTCCTCAATCTCCAAAATAACTAAGCAAAAAGGGGCTGGATGTGTGGCTCAAGCTGTAGAACACCTGTCCAGCAAGTGTAGGCCCCTGAGTTCAATTCCCAGTACTCCCAAAGAGGAAAAATGACAAAATATTTAAAGTTTTTTTTTTTAATAGGTGATTCTGGTAAAACCAAATGAGAGGCACAGAGCTGGATAAACTTTGCCTCTGCTCAACACAGAGGTCACTTGCCACTTGTTTTTCTTAGGGTCATGGTTTTTAATAACAATTTTTCATGTTCTAGAAAATTTACCGAGATATCGACGTTGACAGGTCTGGCACCATGAATTCCTATGAGATGAGGAAAGCGTTAGAAGAAGCAGGTAAGACTTCAAAGCTTTTCTCCTCTCCTTTGCTTCCTCCAGTTGTATAACACCTGTTCTAGTTGATACAACGCACTGCTTGTTGATAAGCTATCATATATAGCAGGTGATGATCTAATAAAGCATGCCCTTCTGGTTCTCCTGTTAAACACTAACTAGTCAAATGAAATGCAGTGCCAGAAGCTCTGCCCTCACAACCTGCGTGCTCCCAGGTTTCATCTGGAACAGCCTGAAAGAACACACAGGCAAAGCCACCTCTCAGCAGCCCTCTTTCCCCCACCCCCTCCTTTCTATTGCAGAAGGCAGTAGACACAAAATATCTCAGACCAACCCTCCTTTATCATAGGACACAGGCTTGGGGAAGACTGACTGAATGAGAGACAGTGGTGCTTGTGGACAAATATGCCAACATGAGGTTGTTCATTCAGTTAGTTGGGATATAATGCCACAGCAGAGACCCTTCCTCCCCCAAATAATAGTTGTTTAAATGAGATACATCTTTCTCACAAATAATCCAGGCTGGGATGGGACTACTGTCAGCTTTCCAAAGCTATGGCGTTGCATTACCCGTGAGGGACCTGGGGACAACTTGCCATCACAATCACAATATTGCCAACAGGTTGACAGGAAAAGGACTCCTTTCTTTTTAAGAGAATACAACTTCTGGGTTCTGGTAGCTCACACCTGTAGTCCTAGCTACTCAGGAGGCTGAGATCAGAAGACTGAGGTTTGAAGCCAGCTTAGGCAGGAAAGTCTATGAAACTCTTATCTCCAATTAACCAGTAAAAAGCTGGAAGTTGAGCTGTGGTTCAAGTGGTAGAGCATTGGCCTTGAGCAACAAAGCTAAGGGACAGTACCCTGGCCCTGAATTCAAGCCCCAGTATGGAAAAGGAAAAAACAAAACAAGCAAAGCATACCCATCACTTCTGCTCACACATCTTATTGTCCAGAATCTGGTCACTGGGTTTCAGATGACTGCAAGGGAAGCTGGGAAATGTAGTCTTTATGCTAGAGAGCCTCTGGCTCATTAAAAATACCTTTATTGTATACAAGGGGACAATTAACAGTAGTTTATCACACACAGTTTCTGTTGCCTATATCTAGGAATAAACTGATTTCCAAGATGATTCAGCACTAACTACACAAAACCTGGAAGCATGGTTAACAATTTAAGGATACATGACCATGGACACAGAGCAGACAAGAAGTGGTGGGATATCTGTAGGATGACAGTTTGGAAATAAAAGAAATAGCTGCAGGTACTGGCTTTACAAAGTGAAATCAGTCAAGCAGCCCAGGAACAAAAGCAATTACAACTGTAACGTAAAATGAATGTCACATCAGCTGTATAACTGGTGAGTGGAGCTAACTAGTGCATTCTGAACTTAGCCCTCAGTTCATGTGTTCACTTACCTCCAGGTTTCAAGCTGCCTTGTCAGCTCCACCAAGTCATTGTGGCTCGCTTTGCAGATGACCAGCTCATCATTGATTTTGATAATTTTGTTCGGTGTTTGGTTCGACTGGAAATACTATTCAGTAAGTGGGTATTTGGGGAAGGCCCATTTCTGTTTTCTTCATATTGAAGCAGCCCATCTTAAGCCAACATCAGTTGTGTATGTCCATAATCCTAGTACTCGGCAAGTTGAGATCTGAGGGTCTCTATTTGAAGCCATGCTGAACAGGAAAGTCTGTGAGAGTCTTATCTCTAATGAGCCACCAAATAGCTGGCAGTAGAGCTGTGGCTCAAGTGGTATAGTGCCAGCCTCATATGAAAAAGCTAAGGTACACACTCAAACCCTCAGTTCAAGCCAGAGTTCCTGCGCACACGCGCGCAAACACACACACACACACACATACACAGTGTAGCCTGTGTTTCACCACGGAGTGGTCACCTGGCCAGAGACATGTCTGTTGAAGAGCTGAAAATGAAATTCCCTCCTTAGTAATTTGGAGCAAAAGGGAAGAAATAACATCTCATGGCATTCAATAGTTAGTGACCCAAATGGGAGAGAGACAATGTGTTCTCTGTTTCAGCTCACTCACTTACGACATCCCCCTTTTTCTTCCTCCACAGAGATATTTAAGCAGCTGGATCCTGAGGACACAGGAACAATAGAGCTCGACCTTATCTCTGTAAGTCAGCTCATACCAGCCTCCTCTCTCCACGGGGATTTAGGGAAAGATGGGGCTGAATGGGCTGTTACTTGGCTGACCTGCTCTTTCAAGTTTTAAATATTTCCTAGTCTTTTGGGGACAAACCTGTATATAAAATCCCACAATCTTTACTTGCCATCGCTCCCCAACTATCTACTAAATCTCAAGTCCAAGAAAGTCAGGTATGCTTTGACTTGAGCATAAAACAAGGCTAAAGTTAGAAGATTAGGTGAATAAGAATCATTTAGGAGACTGCTAATCAGTATGCACAAGTATGCTTCTTATATAAAGAAACACTTGGAAAGCTGGGCATCAGTGGCTCTTGGTAGCCCCTGTAATCCTAGCTGCTCAGGAGGCTGAGATCTGAGGATTACAGTCTGAAGTCAGCCAGGGAAGGAAAGTCTATGAGACTCTTTATCTCCAATTACCCACAAAAAAAGCTGGAAGTGGAGCTGTAGCCCAAGTACAAAAGCTCAAGGACAGTGCCCAGGCCCTGAGTTCAAGCCCAAGAACCAACACACACAGACACAGACACACACAGACACACACACACACACACCTGGATAAAATTCAAGTTGGGTTTTTGGAATACCCATCAATATTTTGGCAGAACTGAAAACACCTTCAAAGAAAATTGCTTTTCTCTATTTCTTTTTTTGGTCCGGTCGTTGGGCCTGAACTCTGGGCCTGGGCGCTGTCTCTCAGCTCTTCAGCTCAAGCATTCTACCACTTGAGCCACAGTGCCACTTCCAGCTTTTTTCTTTTTTGCTTATGTGGTGCTGAGGAATCGAACCCAGGGCCTCATGCATGCAAGGCAAGCACTCTACTACTGAGCCACCTTCCCAGCCCAACTTTTCTCTATTTCCTACACATGCACACCTTCAAAATTCTAAACAAGTTTGTCATTTTACCCACTTGTGAAATTATCACTATCCAAATCACATTGATAGGCCAGTTTCATTAAAAACAAAATGTAGTATGTCCTCTTGTCATTCTGATGACAAAGAGCTGTCTCACTGGAAGATGCAGAACAGGCAGACTGCACATCTCTCATCACCTGGCTCCAGTAGGAAATAGAGCCTGGCACAGCACGGGCCACAGAGGGGTGTGGCAATATTCCCAACGCTGGCTGGGAATGACCGTCACCAGTTCTATCCCCGTGACACACAGAAGAGCAAATGTGAAAAGGAGGACAGGACAAAGGACCAGCAACTCTTTTCTTTGAATTTTGAACTCTAAAGGAAGCTGGTGATAAACCAGCTTTGTGATTCTACTGTTACGCATTATAAAGTGCCTTTATCCAACTATAGATCGTTTTGTTGGTTACAGATAACACTAAGCTTGTTTTAAAATTCTTAGGCAATCTAACCAAGTTGTGATCTTAAACATGGGTTCTGGAAACTCTAGTCTCCATCATTCCTGCTGGGGATCCTATTCCCCATTTCCCCAGCTCCCACCCACCCACACTGGCCCACGCTCACAGCCCACTCCCTGCCTGTTACATCTGAGAAACATCTTACCAATGATTCCCTCTGGCCTTACATAAGCTTCAGTGTGTGGTGACTTTACAGCTCTGCCTGTGGAATAAGTACACCTGGGACTTGCACAAGTCCAGATAGGTTCAGTCCAAATCCGATTTAAAGTTCCCATATCATATTGGGTCCAGGTGGCTCACACCTGTAATCCTAACTACGTAGGAGGCTGAGATCTCAGGAACTTGGTTAGAAACCAGCCTGGGCAGGTAAACATGAACCTCATCTCTAACCAGCAAAAAAGCCAGAAGTGGCATTGTGGTTTAAGTAGTAGAGTAGGGGACAATACCCAGGCCTTGAGTTAAAACCCCAGTACTGACCCAAGCAAACAAAAAAGTTTCCATACCATACCAATATAGAGCCAAAGCCAATATAGACCCCCAAACACCGGCGATCTTTTATAGCCACAACCCAAACTAACTTCTGCTGTGACACCCTGAGGCAAAATGTAAAAATGCTGGTTTATGTGTGGTTTGAATTTCACCCTCCATGAGTTCAGTTAACCCAGCAGTGACAATCTGATGCCAGCCACATAGACCACCAATCTGGAAAATGTGAGGCTCTAGAAGTTCGGTAGAGAAATGTTCATGCACTAGTATCTTAGCGCTTGGTAAGCTTTCAGAATAATCCAAAGGTGCTTGAATAAAACTTTCATTGGCCCCCTGAAATGACTTTCTTTTTTCTTTCCCACAGTGGCTCTGTTTTTCAGTACTTTGAAGTTGTAATTAATCTGCCAGAAAACTTCTTGTGAAAGAAAATTGGCCACGGACTAAACAACACTTTGTATCCGGACCTTGAAGTTATGGGAACATTCACCTAAACTTATTATAGCTGAAAATAATACTATTTGAGATAGCAAGACTTTCACATATCAAAGTAAAGGAGTTGCCTATTATTATACTAAACATAAATGAAATGTATAACCCTGGTAAGCTCAAAGAAAGCTTTAAGTCTGTAAATAGTATACACTTTCTACTTTTACACACTTTCCTGTTCATAGCAATATTAAACCAGGATGAAATGCAGGGAAGTATTTAACAGCTGAGCAGGAATTAAGTCAATCTCAAAGACCACAAGGTCCTTTCTGGGAATATTTAAACCAATTTTAACTTTAAAAATGTACTGTGCCACCTACCACACAGAAATCCAGGGACTGCCATTTCCCTTGAGCAAACTGGGAAATAGGATCCACTGTGTAGTAGTCTTATCAAGACATTTTCAGAGTCCAGGAACTAGAATGGTGGTGTACACCTGTAATCCCAGAATCCAGGAAGGTAAGACAGGAGGAGTATGAGTTCAAGTTCAGCCTCGGCTATCTAGCCAATTCAGTGGCAGCCTGGACTACCTAGGAAGATCCTGTCTGACAAAGAAAGGAAGAGGAATTAGAGGTGGCTCAAGTGGGAGAACACCAACTGGAGTGAAAAAGCCAAGTTCAAACCCCAGTACCCTTCCCCACAGACAAACGCAAAGAAAATTTGCTAGGTACCAGTGGCTTAGACCCTGTAATCCTAGCTCTTCAGAAGGCTGAGATCTGAGGATGGCAACTTGAAGCCAGCCTAGGTAGTAAAGTCCATGAGACTTATCTCCAATTAATCACAAAAAAAAAACAGAAGTGGAGCAGAAGAGTGCCAACTTTGCGTGAAAAAGCCAAGTGAGAGTACAAAGTCCTATGTTCAAACCCTAGTACTGGCATGCGCACACACAATATATATGAAAGAAAAGGAATCCAGATAGAAGACAAGTCTCTGTCATTTGGATTTAACACTTGATAGGTTTTATACAGTTGATCGTAGTAAATCCTTAAACTCAAGTTCTTAAACATATCTGGCCTTAAACATTTAGTCTTATTAAATACAGAAGGGATGCTACTTGTCATCAACTGAAGCAGGATGCACCAACCAGGCATCCAATTTGCAAACCGATCATAATGGACAAAACATGGTGTCAGCTGCCTCAAAAATCTATGCACTTCAGAACCTCCACCAGTATTTGTGCAGTTAGCTAGAAATTCTCTTGAAATGACATGAGCCGGCTTCCTGACTTGACCTTGGGAACATGCTAGCAACATTATGAAAATCCTGCCTTGTTGCCTTATCTCCTTCCAATGTACTGTTCAATAAAGTCGCCCCATGCAATCACACCATGCTGCATTTGTCTTCCTGGATGATGGCTCCAGTGCCATCATTTATGAGCACATAGTACTACAGCCGACTTGAACTTACATGAAGGATGTTGCCTCTATAATATTGAGAAAACATATTCCCTCTCATTTAGATGGGAAACTAGCCAATTTGAAACTGATTATCTGGCCCCAAAAAAGGGAGGGGGCAGCTATAATTTCTACTACCTGTTGATCTCTTTTAAGGAGGTGTAAGAGACTTGTGTACCTCTCCAGAAGTTTCCTGCATTCCCCGCCAGCTTAATGGCTCTCTGTCAGCTCTTACTACTAGAAAAATTTCAAAACAAAACAAAAAACAGCAAGAGAGCTGAGAAAACACAGATTGAATCACTGGTATGCTGCTGGTGATCAGCAAGGTATCGTACAAAACTGGAAAGATGAAGGTAACTTGGTAGACGAATTCTATGTATTATTTCCTAAAAAGATTTTAAGGTAGACTTCCTGAACACAAGTAGGATGAGCCTGAATTCCTACTTCTTCAGTGGGCTTTGTGGGCATAAAGAAGGTGTAAATAGAAAGCAGTTTCAATTCGCTGGAGCGATGTGGGGAGGGGTAGTGCTGGAACAGTGGGAGTTGGGGTGATTGGGTCTGCAAGTGAGCAAGGGATGAGGACCAGGAATGAGAGAATTGAGTGAACTGACCCAAGTAGTTGAAATATGGGACGCCTACAATGCCCAGTTAGGAGGCTTGGAGTGAGTAAGGCAGAAGGGCAGAAACCATTCCAGTCCAGACAGCTGTCCTGGCCACACCCCTCCTACTGTCCTTAACTGAAAGAGCTGGTCCAGCCAATCACTTACTAGATGCCTGGTTTGTACCAACTGCTTCAGTTGATGACAAGTAGCATCCCTTCTATACTTAATAAGACTAAATGTTTAAGGCCAGATATGCTCAAGGACTTGAGTTTAAGGACTTACTATTATCAAATTGTATAAAGCCTGTCAAGTCTCAAACCCAAATGGTAGAAGAGATGGGGATTTTTTAAAAAGAAAAAAAAAGGCATTTGTTTATCACAGCAAATTTAGAAAAGATGAAAAGGAAGCATCCCAAGCTTTACCACATAAAATTTATCACTGTCCATTTTACAGGGAGAATAAAGTAAACCTTCTCACCTGTCTTACCTCTCAGGGCTCACAGCCTATACCCTCACACACCTCACCCTCAACCTGTGCCCTGAATTGCGATCTCGAGTCTGTCTTGGCCACTCCTCAATGCCTTTTTTCCTACAAGGTGCTTTGATAGTGAAATAAAAGCCCAACAAGGAGAATAAAAACAAATGGGGTTCCTCCTGGAAACACAAGGAGTCATCATCTCCAGTAAGTTGGCAGTACTATATCCATGTGGATATAGTACTGGACGAAGATCCCCATTTCCCTGCTGGTTTTCAGCCAAAGGCTTTGAGTTTCCACATTCCTTGGCTTATAGCCCTTTGTGCTTCAAAGCCAGGAAGGTCTACCCTATGCAAAGTCTACCCTATGTCTTGCTGGCTATCCTTTCTGCCTAGTGTTCAGGTTTTCCTAATGCTTTTGAAGGGCTCCTGTGAGCATACTGGGCCCACCTGGATAATCCAAGTTGATCATCTTATTTTAAGGTTAGCTGATTAGAGAACTTAATCTGAGAAATCCCTCACAACAGTACCCAGATTAGTGCTGAAGAACCCAGAAGAGGGATTGTGGGAGGATTTAGAACTTTGCTTGTCAAGTGTATCTTTAGACGTGTAACTTATGCTGTTGTTCTTTCTCCATTACTTGAAAAGGCTTATTACTTTGTCATTCACTTACCTTCCTTGTTAGAATTGAGTTACTCATAAAAGTGCATAAGTAAAAACTGACCACTAGTTTTTTATTTACATTTTTTATAATAGTTGCATTAAGCAGAATGAGTTCATTGACTTAATACAAATCAATGTAGGTAACTCTATGAAGACACTGAAAAAAAGTGAGGGTGCTGAAAACAGCGACAGAAGGCGCTGGTGGCTCACGCCTGTCATCCCAGCTACTCAGGAGGCTGAGATCTGAGGATCATGGTTCAAAAGCCAGCCCAGCAGGAAAGTCCATGATACTCTATCTCCAATTAACCACCAGAAAAACAGAAGTGGCACTGTGGCTCAAATGGTAGAAGTGCTAGCCTGAGCTGAATCGCTCAGGGACAGTGCCCAGGCCGAGTTCAAGCCCCATGACAGACAAAAAAAGGAAGAAAAAAAAAAGTTATACCATGGAATGGAAACTAGTTCAACCACTCTGCCAGATGGTTGGTTTGGAGGTTCTTCCAAAAACTAAATAGAGGGGCTGGAAAGGTGGCTCAGTGGTAGAGTGCTTGCCTTTGCATGCATGAGGCCCTGGGTTCGATTCCTCAGCACCACATAAGCAAAAAGAAAAAAGCCAGAAGTGGCACTGTGGCTCAAGTGGTAGAGTGCT